GACTGAATCCCTGTTGCTCTGTTCACCAGGTGCTCTTCTTAACATCTGTTGGTTTATTAAATAACACAGGAGACCTGGTGATAAAGGGACGTGCTTATTAAGGCTTATTATTTCCATATTCCAGATGATGGCCGCCGGTCATGATTTGACCGTTGGTCACTATGAAGAAAGATCTTGTAATAAATACGAACGTTTTTGTTCTTTGCCGAGCTCAGCTGAATGCACCAAAAAGCTGCAATCTTAAAGGAGAAAAAGAATGATAACGAGAGGGAGGATTTTGCTGGACTGGCCTGCTGTGCTCTGCAATTTTGGCAGGTTCCCCAGAAGCTCATAAAACCAGTGAGGTGGGGGGTGGGGGTCAGTGGGAATCCTGCGTGCCTCTCCTCTGGGGGGGGAGGGGGGGGCGGTGGGGGTCACTCTTCCAGGTACTTTGTCGGAATGAAAAGAAGACTGTTGTACCGCTGAAGAAGAAGGCAACGTGCATGCATGCCAAGGGCAGATAAGTATCTCTATATGCCATGCTCTATATAAAATTAAAAAAATTCACATATATATATATATATATATATATATAGAGAGAGAGAGAGAGAGAGGCTGTTGTAGGGTGGTGTGCAGAGTAGGGTAAGGTGTTGTAGGGGTTGGCTGTTGTAGGGTAAGGTGTTGTAGGGGTTGGCTGTTGTAGGGTAAGGTGTTGTAGGGGTTGGCTGTCGTAGGGTAAGGTGTTGTAGGGGTTGGCTGTTGTAGGGTAAGGTGTTGTAGAGGTTGGCTGTTGTAGGGTAAGGTGTTGTAGGGCTTGGCTGTTGTAGGGTAAGGTGTTGTAGGGCTTGGCTGTTGTAGCGTAAGGTGTTGTAGGGGCTGCAATAGAAGTCTTTGTTCTCTGAAATATCTTTTCTCATCCATCTCATCTGCTTCTGTGCCTCTGCATTTGTGGTGGCAGGAAGCCCAGAGGTACAGAGAGTCACGAGCAGGACGATTCCCTGACAGGCGGCTATAAAAAATGCCTCCTGCTGCCAGTGACGCGGCCGATCTGCCGCTGCAGCGCCTCACGCGGCGGGAGAGCGCGTGACCTCACATGTGTCAGCCCGCGAGCCCACACACACAAGCCCCCGCAGTTGCCGTGGAAAAACGGTGGGCTTTCGCAGGTGCCTGCGTGAAGAACAGCGTGGGCGAAAGCGACGTGGGGCGCTTGTGGGGGTAGGCTGGAACGAGGGAATGGGAGAGAAGCGGAGGACGGGGGCTCGGGGAGAGGGGGATCTCGTGAAACGGTGTGCAGTGATGCCATCTGACAGGGAGATGGTCTGCGTTTGGACGGACAGCTACTGCCTTTCGGTGAAGCCTGTGGACATGGGCTTGAGGGAAACAGGTTAGGTTCTTACAGAACTTTGCAGAACTTCACCGAATTGGCTGATGGGTGTCTGTGTAGCACCTAAAATAAACACCCAATACACCCACCGGAGAAGAGCTGCCCAGTTTCAATGCTGAAACCGAACTTTCCCAAAGCAAGTTTTCACAGATGACGAAATGGGAGGCCAGGGAGTGTCGAGACGCCTCCCTTCTGTAATGTAGATACCTCGCTTAAAATCATCTTATTCTGCTGAGCAAAGATTTTATTCTCGCCCCAGAGAGCCAGCTTGTCTTGTCAGGCGTGATCAGCGGGAGATGACTTCCTTAATGAGCACAACGCCAGCCGCATCATCCGCTGGCTTGCTGGGGCCGTGCTTACAGTACACCTGAATCCACGCTGGCCTTCGGACCGTGAGGCGGCGTGCCGGTAACACGCACCACACTGCACGACAGGGATGTTCATCCTTTGCAGTGCAGTTTCCTAAACTGCTCATTCTACGACCCTATTCTAAAGTAAACAGCAGAGAATTGCTCTCAGCTGTGATGGAGATTCTCTCACCTCCTTAGCTCCTTTCCCAAGACATTGTGTGTCTGCTGACAGTCATATCCCCCCTGGCCCCGCAGTTAATATTTAAGGCTGGCTCCCAGTGTCAGAACCTGTTCATGTGAGAGAAGGTGAGTGAAACACACCATAAATCCTACAGAGAAAATGTTGCACGATGCTCAGGAGGGCAGGAGATAGGGGTGCTGAACGCAGGCTATGTAAAATAAACAGGGCTGGACACAGAATACCCCGGCACCCCTCTGATGTTCTCCGCGGCTCCGCACGCCAGCACGCAGCCCTCTATAACTAATTGACACTTCTGCTACCTGCATTGTGCTCAAGAGGACATATTTTCTGTTTCTGAATATTTGCCGTTGCTAATATTCTACCAGGAGATGGCTGTAGACAGTGTGAGGGTGAGGCTTACTGAGGCATTCTGGGAATCGTTGCAGCAGTGCGACTGTTGTTATGCAACGCCCACGCTCACTGCTGGTGATGGGCACGAGCGGCAGAGGACTAACCACCATGGCTTTGGGGATGCGGGGAGAGGGTCTATAAAGGCGGCTTCACCGAATCCACATTAGAGCCTCCAGGTGGAGATATATCTCAAACTGAAGAGCAGGTAATGTTCAACACTGAAGAAGGATAATGGTTCTTTCTATGCTCAAAAGTGAGCCAATGGCAGACTCTCATATTTTTTCCTGGTTCCCAGTGAGGCTTGCTGCCTGTTTGGATGCTAACTTAGAACACAGATACCAAACCCTGATGTTCTCCGGTTTGGTAACAGGGAGGGTTACAGGATGAGGCCTTCTAAGAAGGGATCCCCCTACATTAACACATGTTCATCGCGGGGGGGTCTCATGCACTCTCACACATACCCCCCCCTCCCCCAACAGACCACTCCTCCTCTCAAACTGGCTTGTCTCCCACCCTCCTCACCTTCAGCCAACGTCTCATTCTCATTGGCTGACTGGCACACACCTTCTCTTCCTTCTTCTGGCCCATGGCTCTGCTCTTCTTGGCCCAGACTCTGCTGATATCTTTCCTCCTCTATCGATGCCCCCACACTGTGTTTGTTTACTTGTCCTCTATTGTCTGTGATCTCTTCCTGTCCTCTGCTCTTCATGTGTATATGCTTGGCCAGCTCACGCTCCCCAGTCTGACCTGTGTGTGTGTGTGTGTATGTGTGTGTGTGTGTGTGTGCCCGTGGCCACCGCTCGCTGTCCCTTTTCTGCCCACGGTTATGTTTTTCTCCAGTGTCACGGGTGAAGATATCACAAGGGTAATTATGGTTATAAATAACCAGCCCCCCTGATGCGGGTGCAGTGTTATGAGATGGTAACACTGAGACAGGATGATCATTAGTCAGGTTATGATAACAATGCAATTTTAAAGCGCATTTCTTAAAGAAAGGGCCGTAAGACCTGGAGCACCTTGGTGCCAGCAAACCAGGACGAGATTCACGACAGGAACATGGAGACGTCGCAGAGAAAAGACCAGAAGAAAAACAGACCATTGGCCATCAGCATACGATGCACTTAAAGCATTTGGCTCAGCCCAGAGCCTCTGCATGGTGCGACCCAAACCACTGAGAGCAGAAGCCCGGAACTGCTCCTAACAGAAAGGGTTTAGGCAGACGAAAGGTGAAAGCAATGAGAGAATGATTCCGATTAGGACATTCGTCACAGGAACAGCTGCCGATAAAGTGCTCCTAATGAATGCAGCGATCAAGAAAACCTGACAGTGCAGGCAAACGGCCACAGGAGGGCGGTATTTTCTACCCCGTGAAAATGATGCAAATGCCTCCGTTTCTTAGCGTAAGCTGCCGTGAAAAATGAGAATTTTGAGATTACATAAATCAAAAATTTGGTGTGGGCACCCCACACTGTGCCTCCAGATTTTTTGTACAATGATCACATATCTGAATAATTATTAGATATTGCCCCAAATGTCATGTGGCCTTTGATAGACTGGAGAACACCATGCTGGCTCAGCAGAGGTAAAGAATACTTTATTGCATAAACTAGACTTTGGTACTTTGGTCGTTTCCAGATAAATGAGGCAATTAAAGACAAATACAAAGAAGCCAAGCACAAAACCCAGCGATTTACACAGGACAGTGGGCTCGCCTTGTCAGCCCCGCTATTGGGGCTGGGCTGTGTTCATGTATCAGGCAGGATAGTTAGTGCCTTCCCCATACTCACTCCCCATCTTATGCTATGACTGTTAAACATTACTTAAAATATCTGCCAGTGCCCAAGTCTGGTCCTCCAAGGCAGAACCGGTACCAGAGAGAATGTGGATTGTAATGTATGTAAAACTGTTTTTAAATACTGAAGTATTAGATTCTCACCCAGCTAAAAATGGCCATATTTTTAATACTTTCTGCATTAAAAGCATGCTGCTGGCTCATCTGCTCTGGGAATGGAGTTTATCAGGATATTTGCCTGTTTCTGGACTTACACAATAGCTCGATTTTAGCAGGGAGTTATGTAACGCCCTGTAAAGGTGGGTGGTATCTTTAATCTTCAGCGATTCCTCTCACCTCCTCATTCTGAGCTGTCGGCCTGCCAGCCTGCTAACTGCTCGTGTCCAGCACAGAGGCCTCGCTCACTCGACCAGGGTCCGTCCCGAGGCCATTGTGCTGCCCCAAATGCTTCTAAGCCGTACGGTCAGCGGACGGCATCGGGGCAGGGGACTGATGAGTCAGCATTTCGGAGTCATTCTGAGGCTGGGACCGGCGGTCTCTAGCGGGCCACTAGCGGGGGATGGGTCTCCGCGCTAAGCCAGCCTAAAACCTATTAGATTGGTCCCCAAAAAGGCCGTTGTTGGTGCATCTCTGAGCTTGGTGAAATTCCCAACCAGGGATAAAACTGCAGACTGTCTAAGTGGCTTGTATGAAAAGATGAAGCTTTGGACACCTGACGTTACTGTTCTCTTGTTTATCTTCCACGGGCCCGCACTGCCATGTGGCCTCCTGTCCTGTAGGTGTCACTGTGCTCGTTTCAATCTCTACTCCGTGTATTTCTGTTGTTAATGTGAGTGTCTTCTTCTGTCGTCCCTCTCCCTTGACGTGCCGGTCTCTGTCTCTCTCTTCCTTTCTCTGTGTCAGGTTGTCCTCTAATTCCACCCCTTGCAATCTAACTGCCACCAAAGCTTCTGCCACTACTGCTTCCTCCCTACTTCACCCCAATCTGACAGCTAACAGCCACTGCAGGCATCATCACTGCAGCCACTCCAGGCCCCGTCTGTCCAGGTCGGCCCGCAGCCCCCCCTCTGCCAAGCACACGGAGCAGGCAAGGTAAGGGCCAAGAATCAACCCCCAACCCCCCAACACTATAGTGCCCCATTACCCAGGTCACAGTCTCCCCCTCCATATCTTTCATTACAACTCTGTGGACCAGACAAGAAGCATGCAGTGCATCTCCCCAAGGCTGCCGCACATCTCCTTCCACCTGACTTGGGTGCTGGTGGCTTCTGTTGTCAATGCTGAGGTATTCGACCACCGTCCCGCACAAGGAATTTGACGAATGGCAGATGCACACCTCACCCAAAGTGGAAATGGTTCCCACTGCTCGGGAGCCAGATTTCCCCAGACCGAGCTGATGTCCCAGTCAGCCAGGGACCCGCCATCCTTGTCACACATGGCGGATTCTCTCAGCCCCAGAGTTTCTTTGGATCGTAGCGGATGCCTCCTTAGACAGCATCCATGCTAGTACTAACTCATCAGTGTGCCGATTCAACCTGAAGCTACTAAAGGATCAAACGGGTACCCCAATCAGAGCAGCCCCCCAATCAGAGCAGCCCGCCAATCAGAGCAGCCCTGCAGTCAGAGCAGCAGTGAGACGCGCTCAGACTCTGCGGCGGCTCTGTGCCGCCGCTCTGCGTCGGTCGGGATGAGGAGATGGATGAGTGCCTCACAGCTGAAGGGGAGCAGAAGTGAAGGACCACAATCAAAGGCACATTCATCACTCCTGCATTTATATTCTAGGTGTTCCTTTACCCACAATGCACTGCATGTGCTGTGAGACTGAGCCAAAGAAACCAGACCGGGTCTCATTTTGGAAAACGCCACATGCACACAGCTCCCACACCTAGTTACACATATTTACCCATGCTCACATATACCCTAGGCAGGTACAGTTGTATAGCTTAGACAAGCATAAACACACACAAACACACACACACAGCTCCTTTCCATCCGTTCCCCTGTGGTCCTGCTCTTTCTCCATCTTCCACCCCTGCCCTCAAACCCTTATTTGATCTGCATGCTCTTGCTTTGTCCCAGAGATGCCATGCCTACACAAAGAGCACAGCTTCTATGGTTAAAAGCTGCCCTTTTGCGAGCGCTGAGTGCTGTGAGTGGAACAGGCTGAATAGCATGTCAGACACCTCCTTAGTGATGAGCCTTCCGTGTTTAAAGGGACAGCCGAGGGAAAAGGGAAGGAATGTGGCTCTCATTTCGATAACAACATGGCAACACCAGTATCTTTGTACTCCACATGCTGGAACAGTTTAGCAGCTATTTAAAAAGATCCCACTTCCATTTTAATATGGTCTATGTGAGATCCAAGCCTAATATTTATCTGGCAAAGCAGTCTTTGTAGCAAGCCTGACACCTGGTGGATAGTGAGATAATATAATATTGAACGTGCAATATATAATCAATAATATAATCTACAATAAAATATAATGTAATATATAATGTATAGTTACATTTTACCTCTTGACACTTAATTGCCGTTTGTTTTACTGTCTGCAGATGTCAGTTTGGATTTAATAAATGGGGGAGTAATACAGTAACATTATTTATGATCCGGATACTCGGACAGGTGGTAGCGTAGTGGATTTAGCACAAGGGTGCTGCTACCTGCAGAATTCTGCTGTTGTACCCTAGGTGGGGGACCTAAAACGGATATGTAAAGTCAAATGCCATAAGTTGCTTTTGACAGCAGCACTTGTTACATAAATAATAACAACAACAATAATTATTACGATGATGTGTATTTAAGAAGGTGCAATTTTTGGTTGTGAATGAGTATTTTTGCTTGGTAAGTTATTATTTTGGACTTGAGAAAGCAAAGGTATTTTATTCTGGTATTTTATTCGAGGGTGTGTTTGTTTAAGGACGGAAAGCCTTTTTTGGCTTTTAAAATAAAATTGTGGGCATTGTATTCCAGGCAGATACACTTTTACTAGATGCCCCTGTTATCAAGGTTCGGTTACTCCTGTGATATTTCAGTGCAAAATTTTGTACAAATAACCACAGTGTTGTCAGAAATTTACCGACTGAAAAGATGTGTATCACTGGTAATGGAGATCTGTGGAGGAAGGACATTCTACTGGCTGTGAGTCATGGATGCTCTTCTGAAAGTAGGATGTGAAACAGGAGAGAAAGTGGAAAGTCTGCGTTCCAGGTCATCAGGAGATCTCGGCACCGATTTCTTGGCCAAGGATCAGATAGGAACTTTGCGTTGGCAGGAAGCTGCTGGCCGCTTGCTATGCATGTCCCATTTAAGGTTGGTTTGGAAGGCTACTGAAGCAGGAGGCCAAGGTAATGTGAGAGGAGGTCTCAGTCTTCACCGTAATCATTCTGAATAGCAACATACAGATGACGCGATAGCTGAAGTGCCTATTCAGACCTGAACACCTGGCAGAGTGTGTTTCATAACGATGTTCATTACTAGGTTTGGGCGAACCAGCTCAGCTGTGGTTCCTTTCTGCTGAAAGTGGTGTTTTCCGGTTCAGAAAGAACATCGTAAGAACGTCTGCTGAGCCTCTTCTCAGCTTTGGTACTTCAGTGCCACATGGCAGTTATGAAACCTGGACATGAACCTCTGAATGAACAGCAAACCAAACATGAGCAGAAATCTAGGGTAATAAGCACAGTGTGTCCCCTCACCCTGAGAATACCGTTATTTTGGCTTTCATAGCTTGTCATTGTGATCACTGCTGTGTGATTGTGATACAGAACAAGATTGCTACCCATGTCCATACACCACGATACCCCTGTGACATTACTGTAGGCCACTTGCCACTATTGTGATCTCCCTCAAACGATAGAAGCTCAGGAAAGATCCTAAGGCTCTTTGGTTGGTCTTCATACACGCTGAGCCCTTGTCTGCTGGATTTAGCAGAAACAGGCTGATTTCTTTTCAAGGGTGGTGTCCGTCCTTCAATACCCCTGAGCTCTCCTTTGTTTATGAGGTTGGAGCATGTTGTTACGGTGATTCCTGAATGGGTATGAAGTTGAGAAGTAAACGTAAGAGCATAAAAAATGGGATATCTTCTTACGGTCCTCTACTGAGTTTCTACTTTACTCTGTTTTTTTTTTTTGTTTATTTGTTTGTTTTTCCGCTGCCATCTGCTCAACGTTCAGCTTTTCTCTGTCTGTCTTATTCATCCTGTGTCCATCTCACTTCTATCTCTCCCTGTCTCTACCCATCCCTGTCTGTCTCTCTCAGAGAAGAGGAAGATGATGACATCGTCCATCAGTTGTGTTGCCCCACCTTCAAGTGCAGTAGTCCCTCCTCTAGGTAATCAGCAGATCAGCTACCCCCACTCTCCCACCCACCAAGTTATTCCAGCCAATCACTTTGAGCAGATCACTATGGCCAATGAATAAAAGCTGTCAGCCGACCTTCTGGACAAAGACTATTGTTTATAGATCCATGAGACTTCAAGTACTAATGTTACTTGTCCTTAAGTTTCCTCCAGTTATTTTTAGTCTCCTATTAGCATCAATGTCCTTCTCCCCTAATTACCGTGGTGCTATTTATCCAGGTTTTGTCTTGAGAGAGGTACAGAATAAATGATATAAAGAGAAACTCCCCTCGCAAAGAGATGTTCTCTTAGGCAAAATGTACCTCAGATACTGTGTATTATTCAGGCCTAAACACCTGGTCCTACTGTTTTTGGTCAATATTGCAGTGAGTCCTCTCTGCTGGAAGTGGTGTTTTCCAACATCGATATGTTCTTTTATGGAGAGCATGACATCTGGTGCTGTGGAGGACCCTGACCCTTCTCATGGCTCTCCAGTTTTTTCGTCTTCAATCCTTTAGGACAGGTGCGGGATGTGAACACGAACCTGTGATATCTAATGACTTGATGTGACTTTAAACATCTCGGATGCGCCCGGCAGCGTTCTGGAGACCCTCCGCTCCAGGAAGGGCCAGATTTACTAAGAGATGCGTCTTAGGGAGCCGCCTTCCTGTCTATTTCATGTGCAGATGGGCTCTTCCATCCTGACACAGAAAGGATTGGGAAGCAGCTTATTTAGCATAAACAGAAGCAGTGAAGATTGCGTTGCTCTGGCTCTGATCACCCACAGCTGAAGAAACTGTCCTCTTTGAAACACTGATATTCCATGGTGTCACAAGTTAGACAGCAAGAGCATATGGGCCAACTGACGATGCGAGACACAGAGCTCTATTATCTCAGAAATCCTGCATTTGTGAGTAAAGGAGAGACAAAGCTCTCTGGTAACGACACATCTATCCATAAGTCTGTCTCTACTTGTATCTGTATCAACATACCTCTGGCAGTAACGTTGTAGTGAAAACCCCCAGTTAAGCCTCGGCATAGCATTGAAATTTGAGTCCCCTTTATTATGGATAAGCTGATTATTCTTGCTTGTTCAAAACTGTAGTGTACAGTAGGTGACATTTAGATATTTGCGGCGTTTATCACGTCCGTGAAAATCGAGCAGGCATTTGCAGAGCTCCAGGCGGAGAATCCGTGACATTTACATATCAGCCGCATACTGTAGGAGCGTTTCTGACGTCACGTAACTGACGGTTCGGCATGATCACGGCTTTCAAAGCAGCGACACACTTCCTGACGCTGTGTCAGTTTGAACAGCCATTGCTCTCATTGTATATGTAGCAGTTGTGTAACATTGCAGTATCGTAAATATTTCACTAGGTGGCATGGTGGTTCAGGGGGTGGCACTGTAGTTTCACAGTTCTGTGGTTGTTGGTCCAAACTGCCCTTTCTCTGTATTGTGTGGGTTTTCTTGGGCCACTCTGGTTTCTTACTGCAATCTAACGACATGCAGTTAAGCTAAATGGTATTTCAGCCCATTGTGTCTACATATTTGTGTGCCTTTGGATGGATGGGCATCCAGTCTAGGGCGTCCCCTGCCCTGTACTGCCTGAAATAGGCTCCATGTACCCCTGTGACACTCACCAGAATAATTAGTTAGAAGATGTATGGACAGATGTACGTGCATATGTTGTTATTTCAATTTGAATTATGAAATTAATTCAGTCAATAGCTGAAACAAACCAAACAGTTATTTATTGAAGATCTAAACCGGAATGAATTGGACAGATGCTGTGGCCAGAAATCCGTGCCAGAGATTCTGCAGTTGGAACGCTTACACAAGGACCGCTTTCACTAATAATAGAAGACAATGACAATGACAAAGTCACTGATGTTTCTAGGCTATGGAATCGACTGACAGTGTTGAAATTGCCCTAATAGGAGCGATGAAGGTGTCCAGTTACCTCCAATCAGATTACACGGAGTGGAGAAGGCTTGCAATTTAATTGGTCCAGATTTCGCCAGCATCATGGGCAGAGCATTTGGGTAGCTCAAGATCTATGAAACATGGAGGCTGTATCTCCAGCCCTTCAGTTTTTGCTCCTGAATCCATTTAAGAAATGCATGTACAGGTAACCCAGTCCACCACTCTGGGGTTGGAGGGTCTCCCAGTGTCATTGTCTGCAACGTTTTGTGTTGTTGACCTGACTGGCTGTTGCCATTGTTTATGCTGTACATGCGACCAAGGTAGTGCTAGCTAAAAATGCCACGTAAAATTACTGAACCCCACATGCCATTCTCTGGCCCATCTGATTACCTCCCTGTGTCCTGGACATACAGTTCTGCACGCTTTACTAAGGGTAGGTTGTACTAAAATGTGGAAAAGAGTTTATGGCACAAAATGTAAAGTCAGAGAAATAAAACATACAGTATGTATGTGTAAACTGTGTGCTAGACCTCAGATTGTGGGCTTAAGAGTGGAGAACATGAGCTTCTATGCCATAAGTATGTGTATTATATTATTATAGTACCCCATCCTTAATAAAGGATCATGGGATTCTGAGTAAAATCATAGCTAAGGCAGGAGCATGAACAAGGCTTAGAAAAGTGATGTGGCTCCATGATGTGGCCTCATCCTTGAAGAGTCAAATGAGAGAATCTCCACACTCAGTGTAGTACATACGTGGTGCCAGCAGGTGGTGTATTTAATTCATACATGCATGAAGCCAGACTAGCAGGTATACTGGTGATGAGCATTAGCCCTGTATTCACAGAATCTTGTTTGAGGTCTTTTTCCTTGAGAGGGTTTATATCGTGTTGAGATTTCTGGACTGTTGCTGCTTGATAGTGTCAGGGACAGCGATCTTGGCAAGGAGACACAGAGGAGTAACCTAAGGCCTTCTTAGGGAGAACACAGACAGAACTGAACTTCCCAACCTCCAGTTTTCAGACTTGTTTACAGTTATGTTCTTCAAAAGGTTCTGGAAGACAGTCTCAAAGGCAGGAATACAGTTACTGAAGGAGAATTAAATCAGTCATATCTGTCTTTCTTCAAGGGAAGCCAGGTTCAGGGCTCCTCTTGCATCTGAAGAGTGGCTTTTTGGGCAAACCTCTCCTGATGAAGAATTCAGTACGATAAACATGACATGTGACACTGCTTATAGGATGTATAACACTACTCTGCTATTACATTGATGACCTCCAGAGACAGTACGTCTTTAATATGATGGGAACTGTACCTCCAGTTGAGTGCAAATGTGTGTGGCAGAAATACAAAATAGCTGGTGTTTATGCAGGTCATGAACTTATCACAGGAGAGCAAGCAGTTGTGGCGTGGTACTCTGTCTGTACTGACGTATGACTGAGTGAATGTAGCGGGTACTCTGTTTGTACTGACGTATGACTGACTGAATGTAGTGTGGTACTCTGTACTGACGTATGACTGACTGAATGTAGCGTGGTACTCTGTCTGTACTGACGTATGACTGAGCCAGTGTAGCGTGGTACTCTGTCTGTACTGACATGTAACTGAGCCAGTGTAGCGTGGTACTCTGTCTGTACTGACGTATGACTGAGCCAGTGTAGCGTGGCACTCTGTCTGTACTGACGTATGACTGAGCCAGTGTAGCGTGGTACTCTGTCTGTACTGACGTGTAACTGAGCCAGTGTAGTGTGGTACTCTGTACTGACGTGTGACTGAGTGAATGCAGTGTGATACTCTGTCTGTACTGACATGTGACTGAGTGAATGTAGCATGGTACTCTGTGACATGGTAATATGGTATTCTGCCACACTGTATCACCTATCTTAAAATGGCTGCTCATTCTTTTCCCATTTCTGGGTCTGATCATCACCCCCCCCCTGTCAGTAATTATCTCTTACAGTGTTTTACTATTCCTTAAGTGTAAATGACTTCACTGCTGTTATTTTAGGTATTTTAGGTTCAGCAGTTAATTGAGTTATGTACAGCAGGGTATGTTAAATATATCTGTATATATATGTATGTGTGTGTGGGCATATGTGTATTACATTGTGATCAAATGTCCCCATAATGTAATAAAAACCTATTATTTTGACTTTGTGGGGACAAATTATTTTTCCAAAGGTCTTGTATTTTGTTTGGTTACTTATGGTTAAGGTTAGGACTGGGTAGGGGTTAAGGGTGTCATGTTGAGATTAGAGTTTTCCCAATAGAAATGAATGGAGAGTCCCCACTAAGATATAATTACAAACCTGTGTGTTTGTGTGTGTGTGTGCGTGTGCACCCAGGGGACTTCAGAGATTCACTGCCTGACTGAGTCAAAATGCTATCAAAATGCTGTCAATAATATAGCCATACCAAGAACAGGCATGAGAGTAACTGAGAGAGAGACAAAGAGGCTAAACAAGTGAGCGAGGGAGAGAGCGAGTGACAGGGCCAGTGGCAGACAGAGAGAGAAAGAGGAGGGTGTGTTCCTGATCAAGCCCCGGCGTTTGGTGAGTGACCCCGCGGCTGTGCTATACGGTAAGGACCCTATGATATCTCGTTCTTTGTTTCTCTGTGTCTGGGCTGTATCTCAGCACAAGGGGCTGTGTGCTGCTCTCCTTAGTGATTAAGTAGGTGGTTGGTCCACTGCTCCTAATGTCCATGTATCTGCACGTGGGTGACACAGTGTTTGCACCCCAGCACGCTGGACGGGCTGTGTTATCTGCTCTGATTGGTCCACATGGATATGTTTATTTACCACCATCCAATCCATCTTAATTATAGTTTAATGCTCGTTAAGCACAGGCTGTGTTTTGTTAAATAGTACTGGATAAGACTTGATGAAAGAATAATTTATTGATCATCTGTTAGGTGTTTTCTGTCTTAAAGATTAACCTTTATTAACCTTGTCTTAAGGGTAACCTTGACAAGTGTCCACTACAGTACAGAGTGAAATATTAAGCTGTCTGAAACAGGGCTGGTACACAGGGTGAAATATTCAACTATGTGAAATGGGTGGTATGAAAT